CATCTGTTGTTAACAAGGCTTCCTCCAATCCTGATGGCAGATCCTTCTTCACATAATCAAGCTACACGGATTATTTTCTCAGTATACAGATTGAATGAGGATGGTGAAAGGATACAACCCTGACATACACCTTTCCTGTTTTTAAGCTATATAGTGTCCCCTGTTCTGTTTGCCAGCTTCCTCTTAATCCTTGTACAGGTTCCACGTGAGCACAATGACATGTTCTGGAATTTCCAGTTTCCCAAGGCTATTTGTAGTTTATTATGAGCCACAGAGTTGAATGCGTTTATATAGTCAATAAAACACAAGTTAACATATTTCTGGAATTCTCTACTTTCAATCAAGATCCATGTCTTCTTCTGAATCTGGCCTGAATTTCTAGCAGTCCGTCCAGTGCCATAACCATTGTTGAATCATCTTCAGCAAATTTTATTTTTCATGTGATATTGTTATATAATTTGTTCATTCTGTTATTTCACCTTTCTTTGAAATAGACACAGACAGGACTCTCTTCCAGTTAGATGGCCACAAAGCTTCCAAATTTCTTGGCATAGAAGAGTGAGTGCCTCCCGTGCTTTATCAGCTTGTTGAAACATCAGCTTAATAAAAATAAAGAGATAAATTTTGCCAGTTTAATTCATAGGCTACCTAAATCTTTTTATGAAAATTGGCTAAGAACTTTTGCATTAAGACTTGAGAGGTAAGAAAAGGTATGCATACTGGTAAATGTGTGGGTCTGGAATAGAACATTTGAAGTGACTATGATGGTCTCTCCTGCCTTTGAAAAGCCAAGAATGAGTTAATTGAACAAATAGGTGTTTCATTTAGGGAGGAAGCAGTTCGAGGAGATTCTCTGTACAGAGTGAGATAAAGTTAACCAGAAAAATTGAGAATTTTCCTAACCTAATTAGGTCCTAACTGCAGTTGAAAATCTTAAGCGATAGATGTTGTTATGTATCTTGAGTGGATTGTTGACTCATAGTGACACTCTAAGACCCAGCAGAACTGCCCCATAAGGTACCCCAGACAGTAATCTTTATAGGGATGGAGCTTTGGTGGTGCAGAAGTCAGACTCTTGACTGCACATCAAAGGTCAGTGGTTCGAACCCATGAGAGTGTCCATGGGAAAAGATATATCAAGTTACTTTCAGAAACTCTATGGGTCAGATCGACTGAGATTTGTAGTGTCCTATGAATATGAGCCAACCTCATGGCAACAAGAATCTTTCTGGGAGCAGAAAACTAGGTTTCTTCTCCCTCAAACTGTTCAACTTCTAATAAGCAGCCAAGCCCTTTAATCATTGAGCGACCAGAACTCACCTGTGATGAGTCAGAGATAGATGGATATAGATACATGCTAAAATCCTAATCGTGTGAGTACATCTGCATATCTACTTGTTTAGTGTACATAAAATTCATTAATTTTTTAAGACTTAAAAGGAACCATTATATTTTCTTGATTCTTTCTGTTGATTTCAAAATTTCTTCAATAGCCACAGCCTTCTGAAAACACATACTGATATCTAGAAAAAGTTGACACCCCAAATTGCCATAGCAAGTGGGTTTGGAATCATAATGGAATGTTTGGATTGGAAGCAAGCTAAGAAATTCCAAGCAGGACCCATGGATTTGTATCTCCCATAAAATACCATAATGAGTCTTCCCCACTTTTTGAAAATTTCTATTACAAAACCAGATAAACTTGGCTTTAAAATTAGAGCCCGATATATTGAGATGATAAGTTGTAATTAAAAGTTTTCAACCCAAGTCCGTAGAAAAAACATTGAATTTATTTTTATTCCCTAGCAGGAAGTGTGGTCAGTCCCTATAGAAGATTGTTATAATTTTTTTAAATAGATGAAAACCATTTAAATAAAAAATAACCTACAAGAGGAGAGTGCTTCTCTGTACTTATTTCGTCAAGTAAATACTTTCAATATACAAGTTTGAAAAGAATTATCTTTTCTGATACTTTTTATTGCCATATTGCTGTGGCTAGGGCCCCAAACTACTCCACATTTCATCATAATGCAGCCTATTACTTAGCTCGTCCTGCCTATTCAGTAAATACCATAAATCCAAACTCAGCAGGTGTAATTCAGAGACTCCTACAAATGTCACCTGCTACTGAAATTTCTATCCCACATTTTTATAATGGGGCTCACAGAGGTGCTATTTTTTCCCATAAAATATGTCCCTTTGTGACTTCTTAGTCTTATTTTTATGCTAATACTCTTATTTTCAGAAATATAAAGAAAAGTTAGTGCTAAACTAGTTGAAATCAACATAGAGCAGAATAAGTACAGTCCCATATTATCATTGCTTAAAGTAGAAATTTCAGCATTACTCTATTGATATGCACATATTGTAGTTACATTACTATTCAAATTGTGTAATTTGTACCAATTATCTTAATTATATATATTTGGTAATCTCTATGTATTCAAAATAATTCATATACATATAAGAATACCTTAGAGTCATACAATAATGAAAGGGCTTCAAAACGTTTATTAGTCTGCCAATCTAACACTCACTAATAATTACTCATCACTTCCTAGGCTTCTTTCTCTTTCTTTTTTTTCTTTGTTTCTTATATTTGTCTAAAATCCTATCATCTATTACAAAAAACCTTGGGGTGGGGGCTAAACACTGGACTACTAACCAGAAAGGCAGCATTTCAAGCCTACCATTTGCTGTGTGAGAAAAGGATGAGGTCTGGGAGACCCTTTGAAGGAGCTCTCATCTGTCCTGTAAGTCCGAATCAGTTCAATGGCAGTGGGTATTTGCTATTACAAGGACTCCTAGTGTCATAGCTTTTAAGCTGTAGGATGCTAATGGAAAGGTTGATGGTTCAAACCCTCCAACTACTATGTGGGAAAAATGTCTTAGCTTGCTTCGTGATGATTATAGCCTGAAAAATCCTATTGGACAGTTCGTTCTATTCTGTCCTAAAGAGTTGCTAGGGATCAGAATGAACTTGAAAGCAACACGTTCAATTTTGGTGTTAATATGACACAAATGACATCAAGTTCCAATCTACAGGACCGCTATTCTTATTTATTCTACTTCTTCTTATAGGTATCTCCCAAGACGAGTTCTTCTCTTCCCCCAATGTCACCTATTTCCACACAAACTTACCTTAAGTCATAGCATTTCTCGTAGTTCTCAAGCCCTTGCTTTTGTCTGCTTATCAATCTTTGTCATAACATTTTGAATGAACACTTTCATACTCTTAAAAAGGTTCCATCATCTTTTGATCATCTTCAATCACTGATTGATCTGGCTTATCATAGCAAGTAACACACATAATAGATTATATTGTGATATTATGGTTATTTACCATTGAGTTGATTCCAATAATTTGAGACCCCCTGTGCCCAGAGGAGAACTGCTCCCTGGGGCTTTTGAGACTAGGGCCTTTGGAAAACAGACCACCTGGACTGTTTTCCCTGGCCCCTCAGGAGGGTTTGAAAAGCCAATTCTTCATTTAGTAATTGAGTGCTTAACCATTTGTGTCACCCAGGGATTCCTATATAATATAGTACTTTATTATAATATTTTATTAATCTACTTTCTCCCACACCAAAGTTTTATTTCTTTCAAGAGACTGATGTCTGCCTAACATCTTTTTATGCCCAGAATCTATTGCAGTTCTTTTCAGATTAAGGCGGGCTTATAAAACTGTATTGACTTAAATTCATCTCTCCCTGTATCGGACTCTTTCCTGCTTGACTTGATGGATAGACTGTGAAGGGCATGGAGGATTTGGCACCTACTCTTTGGGAATTAGAAGGGTTAGGAGGAAATCTTCAGGAGAGCAAAATCAAGGACTCTAGACATCTTAAATATAGGAACATGACAACTAAGCAAATTTAAGGAATAAGCATCTGTTTTCTCTGTACCCCAGAGTTGTGGGGGCATAATGGGTATGAGTGGAGCTTCCAACCACGGAATCAGTAGTTTGACTCCATGAGTCGTTCTGCTGGAGAATGATAAGAATTTGTGGTCCTGTAAAGATATACACCTTTGGAAACTAAAGGGCCAATTTTACTGTGTGTAGCGGGTCTCTATGAGTTAGAATCTACTCAATAATAGTACTTGCTTTGTTTTATTTTTCTTCTGTTCCC